GAAGGCCCAGACACAACAGTGGCCGGCCCCTGGCCCCTCACAATGGCCCTCCACACAAAGGCCCACACACTGGGACAATGGGCCTGGCTCAGGATGGGGGTGGCTGGCTTGAGCTGAGGTTACCCACCTGCACACTTCGGGATAGGACCCCAAATCGCGGGCCCACCTCACAACAAGCGCATGCACAAACACTCGGCGGCTGCAGGTGGCTCCCTGCGGTTGGCTCACAGGAAGCGGGGGAGACGACAGAAGACGCAGATGGAGTGTCTTCCAAGTGGGCCACTTGGTCAACCGCAGCAAAGTTTCTACAACAGAGGGGGGTGGGGGGAAACAAAGTAGAAAAGAAAAACAGAAACGTTTCAATATTGTGTATTTATTTTCACGCATGATTGAAATACCGTGCCATCTGACAAACGGAACACAAAATGTGAGCAGCGTTCCTCCATTCATACACGCACACAAATTGGATCAAATGTGTCTTTCCGTGCACTCACACAGACAAATTCTAATTTGAATGAAGTCAGGACATTGTGTAAAATACAACTAGAAACAGGCTACAATGATTTACAAAATTCCTTTCAACCTATCTTCAGCTGAATGCACGACAAAGACAAAATATTTCAAGTTCAAACTCATGAATAGTATCGGTCTTTGGCGACAAATATTCTTATTTCGAAATTTGAAAATACTTTAATTTCTACAAAAGAAAGCTAAGACAAGGTCATGTTGGAGGAATCGATTCACATTCTTGCCTGAAGTACAAATTCAGTTGCTTGACAGTCAGGGGTCTCCATTGTCATGTTTTGCACTTCATAATGCGCCACACGATTGTAATAGGAGACAGGTCTGGACTGCTGGCAGGCTAGTTTAGTATTCACACTCTTACTACGAAGCCGCACTGTTGAAACCCGTGTCGAATGTGGCCTGGCAACAATCCGGATGGTCCTTTTCCTCTTTGGCCTGGACGACAGGGCGTCCATGATTTTTTGAATGAATGGATGAATACTTTATTGTCATTGCACACTTGTTACAATGAGATTTTGCAGGAGCCTCCACTCCCAAGCGTATCGTGAAATATAAAAATTTTCAGAAACAATTCGAAACGTGGACTCGTCAGACCACATTGCACTTTTTCCACTTTGCAAATAATTAACATTATTCGCTAAATATCTTTGTGGTGTAATCAATTGAAAATAGGTTTGAAGAGGGTTTGTAACACGTATTTTGGTTTTATTCATGTTTTACACATCGTCCCAATTTTGTTGGAATTGGAGCTTCAGCTACACGATGGCAACGCACACGTTGGGAAAATATATTGTGCACGTCGGCGCTTTTGGCATTTCACCTCTGCTGTCGTGGATTCACATTTTTCCATTTGCTGTGATAAGTGCGGACAATGTTAGCGGCTGAAGAAGAGCGGTCCGCTCGCTACTCGCCTTTGGATTGGACCAACAGCCTGTCAATCAGTCTGATCCTCTCATCCAAGTTGAACCTTGAGCAAATTAAAAACAGAAAACAAAAACAACCCGAGTACATTTTGGAGAGAAAAAAAAAAGCCACAAGTGTAATTGGATTCAATTTTAACTGTTTTAATTGATTGCAACACATTTTATGTCCACACATTACAAAAAAAAAAAAACAAAAACAATGCACATCAAAATATCTTATTAGGCTCAGTTTGCAACCTTGTTGATAAGAAGGGGGGAAAAAAAACTACCACAAATATGGTTTTAAAAAATAATACAATTATAATAATAAAGTAAATGCCACTTTGGATAACCGTGAATCAATTTTTTTTTTATATTCTACATTTAAAAAAAAGCTTGACATAAATAAGTTAGTATAATTTCTGTGGGGTTTTTTTGTTTTTCAATTTTTTTTACAAAATAATGTACAAAGAAAATATTTACACAAAAATACACAGGCAATAGCGACTGCATTTCTGAGACGAGCTGGTGTTCCTCCGTCTGGTCCAGTTTGACACTGGGGTTGGAACATTAGGCCCAAAAAAAAAAAAAATTTAAAAAAAGCTTCTAGATGCCAACATCAGCATCCTCAGCAGGCTAAACACAAATTTTGCAATGCAGTTTTAGTTCAAGGTTATCACAAAGTCAAACTATGTGAAGTCAAAAGAAGCACTTGGCGGCCAACGGTTTGGTCTTGTAAGAACATTCAAATCAGGATTAAGGCAGGTGACTTAACAAAGAGGAGGACGAACACACATGCCCTACGACCCTTTCGCACCAATCTTGAATTTTTTTTTTTTTTCTTCAAAAAGTACCTCAACTCCATCGCACTGTTTGAATAAAGGCTGAGGTGTGCAAGGAACACAAAAAGGAAATCAGATTCTGAGAAACTTTAAAATAATAATAATAATAATAATAATAATAACAAAAAAAATAACTAAAAATCCTCCATCAGAAGTATTAGGGCCATTTAAATAATAACTTTGCAATCCTGTGAAGGGAACAGACAATGGTCACATTTGTACCGTTCTTCACTGACAAGTTTGGAAGTGTGAAGATACACTGTCGAGAAACTGAAGCGATTTATCTTTTTTTCTCTCTCTCTCTCTCTCTCACACACACACACACACACACACACTCTTATTTTTTTAACTGTGTCAAAGTCAAAACTGCCTTTCAGTAAATAAAACAGCATTTTGGAAATCAAACTACACTGCAATTCTTCACGTCAAATCAAAATTCACACCTTGTCCTTTTTAATTGAGAGAAATAATTATAATTTATATACACACACAGGTAGTACAAAAAAAAATAAGGAGCAAAGGAACAGAACTCAAACCTAATTGCACAATGCTACATCGACTGCTTTTCAGAGGCAGTAACTTTAAACAAAAACAACAAATTTTCGTTTTGAGTGCCACAACTTTGTTTTTTTTTTTAGTGTTTTTCTGAATCAGTGCTTCAACAGCGTCCTCGAAGAGAGCTGATATGTTTCTCATGATGTGTGTACTTCCTCTTCTTCCAAAACGAAGAAAAAAAAAAGGCGACTGAGATACGCAGAGGAAATGCATCTTCAACTCTGTGAAAGGAAGGAAAAAAAGAAGCGGAGTTATTCAGATGAGACTCGGGACATACATATCACAATGACATCAGCAAATTGCAGACCTAACTATAAATGTACATCACAAAAAAAGCATGCAACCTCAATAAAACGGAAACATTTTTCGACACTTTTAGTCAGTAAACAAAGTGGTTTTCATCAACAGATCAAAAGTGGCAGCATTATTGAAACAGCCATGTTGCATCATTATTTGAAGTACGACAAAGGTGTGAAAAAAAACCCGAAAAATGGGATTTTAACTTCTCCCTGTGGCAAAACACGCAAATTATGAAGTTGTCCGCTTCTGATTTTGAACCAGGCACACAAAAAAATTACAAAAACTAAAAATAATCTAAATAGAAATACAAGCATTCTATATAAAAAGGCAAAACATCTAATGGCCTCGGGGAGAATTGCACCGATGTACTTTTTGAACACCAACATGTTGAACAGATAAAATAAAAACGGCTCTCGAGCGCGACACACCATGCAAATTGCGAACGCAGAGCATGATTACAGCACAGGCTTCAAGGCAATGCAGCGCGGAATGAAATGGCACCTTCCAAAAAATGACAACTATTCAATAGAGTATGAATCGAAACAAGAGCAAACACTACTCTGCGTGCCAAAAGCTGCACTCTGAATAATAAAATGCCCGCAAATTAGTCTTCAAGCTCCGCAACACGCAAACCAGGAGGTGGCTGGGTTACAAACATCAAGTAATTGCAAAGAGCATGCGTGGAACATAGTAAAAAAATAAAAAAAGTAAACACTTATATCTTTTACACTCACTTAACTCTCAAGCAGTGCCCCAAAAACGTGTTCGTTTGGAGTTGAAGCACACAGAGGCGTCGACAGATGTGCACGCACAGGAACAACCCCCCCCCCCCTCCAGGCGTGCACGCGCACGAGGGTAGTGGCTGCTGACGTGTTACTACTACTACTACTACGACCACGACTACTACTACGACTACCACGCTCTACGCCCGCACGCCAGTTGTTTACAACTTTACCAACCAGGTGCAGTGGGGAAAATCATAAAAATGTCTTTTTAAAAAAAATAAAGAGCGCGCGCCCCTGGCACGCGCACACACCTGTGCGCGGGCGTTCGTGGACGCGTATCCTCGCCCAAGCACCAAGACAAGATATATTACGAGCACTTGCGTCATGCGAACGTTTGGAAATTCACACACGACGTAAACTACAGCGAATTTTCATTTTGGATTTTTTCTTATCATTGAAGTACTGTGAGACCTGATTTTCACCTCTGTGAATGCTATTTCAGTAGGAATATGTATTTGTACGGTCACATGAAGCTAAACTTTTACTACTATTTAATGGCAGTAGCAGTGAAGGGAATCTCTTCTCTCTAAAACAATAAATATATATCTATTTTTTAAAGGGCACCACTGGTGGGTGCGCCTTTGAACCAAAAAGAAATCCTCACCGCGCGTCTCACGTTTGCCTCCCCGGGCTTCCGCTGCTCTTTCTGGGCGTGTGTTCGGCGGAGCGACTCCGGCTCGGATACTCAGCCGGGCTGCTGTGCGACCTCTTACTTTGGGTTGAGGGCTCTGGGAAAATCATTAAAACGTGTCAAAAAAAAAAAAAAAGAAAGAAAAAAAATAGGGCGGACAAAATGTGGAGTAGTCCGGTCGGGGATTAAGTACCGTGACAGGCAGGTCTCTTCCTCAAAGCGGTGCACTGCTCCGGGCACGACGTCGGCCCACCGGCTCGCTCTTCCGCGGGCTCGCCGACAACACAGCGGTGGTTCCCGTTTACATCCAAACGGTTATTCCCCGAACTCCTTCGCTCCAGTCGCGTATAGAAGTCCGGCACATCGCGACAGTCCACCAGCTCCCAGCGGAGCCCGGCGTCGTTTTCCAGCGGGCTGTGCGAGGCGAAGTCGAAGCTCCATTTGGCGACGGCGGCCTCCTCGAGCTCCCGCAGGTGTCCCTTTAAATCCCGACGGAGCTCGTCGTGGTCCACCGAGCCGAAGAGGATCCGGCAGGCTGACGGTTTTGGGTGCTCCGACAAGCGCGGTTCGCTCCGCTCCAACGTCGGGCTGCCGCTGGAAAGTCGAACATCGGACATCTTTTTTTTTTTTAATGTTTTGTTGTTTTCTGTTTTAATCCCCCACCCCGCTCCGCTCCACCACGGAGAAAGACCCACGAAAACAACCGGGAGCGTCCACTTTTTTCGGGGTGAACGAAAACAATTCTACGCTGGTTAAGATCTTCCCAAAAAAATAGTCAAACGCGACGTAGGGTAAAGATGGGGAAAACCGTTCACGCCATTAAAACGTCAACCGTTTTAGCTCGCCTCGCTTTCGTCAACTCCCAACCGCTTCTTGTCACTTTAAATCCGCTGGAGGGGGGAAAAAACAAAACAAACAACAAAAAAACAGAGGACGTTCGCGCACACATGAGCTTCTCCGAAGCCAATATGGCGATTGAGTCGACGTACTTTAGAGTTTGAGAGCTTGACTGCAGAGTCGAAAGGGAGGGGCGGGGATAACAATGATTGACACGCAGGCGCTGTTTAAATAAAAAGGCCATTTCTCATTGGCCCAAAGCGTTTTAAGCCCACCCACTTCTGTTAAGGTGGCTCACGCAAGATGAGTGGGAGGGACCAAACAACCACCTTTTTTGTTTTGCTCAATGTTACACGCACCCATAAAAAAAAAAAAAAATTAAAAAATCGTTTACATGTGACGTAACAAAGAATTTATAATTTTCAGCACGTTTGGCGTGGACAAGTTACTTGACGTCTATCCGTGACTGCAGTCTTCAAACGAATTTTTGACACGTGTTTATCCCCCCTCCCAAATAAATACATAAATTATGAGCGATTTATTTATTTTTACATCCACCTTAAAAAAATGACAAGTCAGATAAAGTACTTCCTGTCCAGGTTGATGTCCCTCCTTGGACACAACACACTTTCACAATTGATTGTTTTCTCTGAAAGTGGCTCTTAAACGTTTTGCAAGTACCACCTCAAAAAATACGTAGCTCTCCCAATACCACCATCATAAAAAGTGTCTTCATTTTTGTAAGACATTATGGCATTAAGTACACTTGAGGAACGTTAAGATTTACCCAAATAATGATTCAATTTGTATGTACATAAGTTAAATGAAAAATCAAACTAAATGAATATGTTGTGTAAAATGCATTGTGCTTGAAAGTTAAATAAAACTGAACTCCACTCAAAAAATGTACGTTTTGGATTAAAAAGTAATTTGAGCGAGTATAATCTCATGCACACTTTGAACATTAAATTCAGTACCACGAATGGTACACATCCCACACTTTTACAATCACTCCCTGTGACATTGTAGAGATGGATTTGGGATTTTCTTGAGCTAGGTTGGGGAAGTACTATCTCCATTTTCCTCAAAGAGCAACAGATAAAAAAAAAAAAAATCATAAAGGCCTAAAGAGTACAAATTAATACGATCCTTATTTGAGGCATTATACTATTTGTGATTTTCTAATACAGCCACTTATTTTGGTCACATACCTTTCAAGGTATTTAAGAAAAACGGTTCAAGAGTAATGAAAGGTGTTTGCGCCCCCCCTCGCCCCAAATGAGACCATTTAATTTAGAATGAATGAGCTCATCAACCTGTTCCAGTCTGCCGCCACCATTTCGTTAAGGGTAATGTCTCCCCCTGCTGGTCATCTCTCAGCGCTTCTAGCGGCGGTTTAAAAGTGAGCAGGCGAGAGGCAACATTTAAATAAAATCCTTTTAATTACCATAGTGATATAAATGACCTCTGTACAATATTTATATGCAAAAAAAAAAAGCCACGTCCACACACCTTTCAAAGACCGAGCCATTTGATAATATAGAAGTTTCTTTTGCCCACTCGGACCAGCGTGAGTCCGTTGGCCAGGATGTGGAGCTTGGGGATCAGCACCTGCTCCGGGTTGTCAGTCCGTTTGTGGTTGAGCCACACGGCCCCCTCCGAAACCATCCGATACCTGCACACACAAGAGTCCGTCAAATATAAAGCATTCAAGTCAGTGCGGGCAAACAATCCCCGCGCCGCCGTTGTCTCAATTACGAGGCGCGATGGCGTGACAGTCAAGAGGTGGCTGACGTTCAAGGGTTGAAATGAGTGCTTTTGTGAACGGAGTGTGGCGAAGACCTGCCTGACGCCACGCTCAGGCGCTGACAATGATCTAAGTATATATAATTAGCGCCGTCTCCAATGTGTAATGACTGTTTTGGTGGTTGCAGCCAGCGTCGTGATGGCTTTGATTATCCGTCTGGGTCACGAAAAAAAGCGTAAGCTCCTAAAACATGGCCGGCCCTCGGAAAGGCAACCAATACAAGCGGTACGCGATTGAGCAAAGCGTTTTTCTTTGTCACGTTAAATCTACACATCAAGATTGCCGCAAGAGAGAAAAGATGACGGTGATTATTGGAGAAAAAAAATGAATACACAGCAACACTAAGCATTCAATTCATCTTTATAACCATTAAATTTTTTTTTAATATGCCATGCATGGGGGGGGTGAGAGTATACTTAAAGACAACTTTTTTTTTTTTTTACTTTAGAAACATTTCTTTGATTTTATTATTATTGTTGTTTTTATTTTTTTTTTTTTAATTATTCAATTTGACCCGCAACAGAACAGGAGGCTGAACATTTACCAGAAAAAAAAGATCTATTCAAGCTCAACGTGTGTGTCTGCGTACCCTTTGGGACCCTCCGGGATGGCATTGACGCTGCGGCACGCGTCGATGACGGTGGGCCAAAGGAGCCTCTCGGAAGAGCTCCTGCAGCTCCAGGTCGCTCATCTCCTCCAGCGCCCGCACGCTGCTGTGGTACAGAGTGTCGGTGCATCTGCAGGAAACAACAGTTTTACAACTTTAATAAGCATCGACTCGGCCAAAATGTTGCTCCCTTCGGCAACAGTGGCAAACGCTTTAGAAAAAAAAAAAAAATCTGTGCAGGTCTCTATTTACGGTGTTAGATTTTTTTTTGTGCTTCTGCGTAGGTGGGAAGCAGGAAGCCTGTGCAGCCACTTACGTTGTCTGGCTTTATTTGACACTCATAATGCCAAACAAAAAACTATTGGAGGTCCCGAGAACTAAGCGAAGGCTCAGAGGGGATCGAGCCTTTTCCATTGCCGGTCCCTCACTTTGGAATGACCTTGCACTGAACATTCGGCAAGCCCCCTCGCTGCCCATCTTTAAAACTTGTCTTAAAACTCATTTTTATTCTTTGGCTTCTGACTCCTAATGAGACTTGATGTTTAGTTTGATTGTTTTGGGCTTTCCACTCTCTTTGTTATGAATGTATTGTTTTATTGTTTGTTGTATGAATGTTTTTTTCCTCCATGTACAGCACTTTGTAAACAGCAGTGGTTGTTCTAAAGTGCTCTATAATTACAGCTGAGGTAATGGGAGTTGGCATGCTTAGAATTTTCATGCTCTAAATACAGCGCAATAGAAAAAGGCTTCTGACCTCTTGGCACTCTCGAGACCCTCCTTCCCGTGTACCAGCTTCGTCACCTCGGCTGCCAGTCGTTTATGTGCCAGACATTTACCAGGATCTGCTCGCTGCTGCGCCATCAGGCTCTCCACCTCGGCCAGTGGCAGGAAGGTGAACAGCTTCAGGTACCTTCCAGGCAATAAACACGAGTCCAATACGAACACTCTACTCGGCAGACGTTGGATTTTGCGGCGCTAACCCTTCCACGCTGGCATCAGGCTGCCGGAGGAAAAACTGGTAGAGCTCGAAGGGGGACGTCCTGTCGCGGTTGAGCCACACGGCGTTGCCCGCCGTCTTGCCCAGCTTGTCGCCCGTCGTGCTGGTGACCAGCGGGAGGGTGAGGCCGTACACCTCCTCCCCGCTCACTCTGTTGGGAACCACAAGCAAAAGGCGCTACACAAACTTATCATGGCTGAGATAAGTCTGAACGGACACTTAAGTGTTTCGGGATCGTAGTTTGTATATGGGGCTATTTACTTGTTAATGAAGTCGTGGCCGGACATGAGGTTGCCCAGCTGGTCGGTGCCCCCCAGTTGGATCTTGCAGCCGTATATTTGGTTCAGGTGGTAGAAGTCATAGGCCTGGAATGCCTGGTAAGTGAACTCGGTCAGGCTCATCCCCTCCGAGCTCCGCAGCCTGGACTGGACGCTGTGTCGGCTCAGCATGGTCCCCATGCGGAAGTGTCTGCCGGACTCCGCCAGGAACCCCACCACGTTCCAGTCTTTGTACCAGCTCAAGTTGTTCAGTACCGTCACGGTTCCCGGCGTCTTGGAGCCGTCGTGGAAGTGCAGCTCGTGGTTCGTGAAAATCCTGTGGATGCTCTCGCGGATGCCCCGCGTGTTCTCCTCCACGGCGTCCGCGGACAGCCGCTCCCGCTCGCTCGTTTTTCCGCTCGGGTCGCCGATTTGCGCCGTGGCCCCGCCGAGCACGGCGATCACATGGTGACCGGCGCTTCGGAAGTGCAACAGGCCGATGAGGGCGAGCAGGTTGCCGACGTGGAGGCTGTCCGCCGTGGGGTCAAAGCCGCAGTACACGGTCTGAGCGCAGGACTGCAGCAGGCGAGGGAGTCTGTCATGCGCCGCGTCATCCGGGAAAGAGTCCTTCACAATTCCGCGTTTATTAAGAGCGTGTAGTAGCCCATTACATACAGAAACCGAACGGTGAAATTTGCATTTTAACCAAAAGGTTGCAGTTTGTGGAACGCAAGACCGGTGTCGTAAAACTCGCGCCATGGACGCCGCCATGTTGACCACACGAGACCGGAAAAGGGAGGATTCTAAGTGGTGGCCATTTAGAAGAGCGAGCGCCTTCTAGTGCAGCGGAAGCGCAACTGCACAAAACACTTAAATGCAGGAGAGCGTCACAATTTTATTTATTCGTGATTTTATTAGTAAATAAAAGTGCAAGTTGGACTTTCTTTCAGCAACTATTTTTACTATCAATGTGATGCAATGTAATGTATTTTCAGATGGAATCAAAGTGCACAAGAATTCATTTTGAATGTTCTTTTTTTTATTTTTGAAATCCATTCAATGTCAGGTTATTGTGTCATTTCAATGACGAGCTATACATTCCTCATATACATTTACAGTATCATGTAACAATTTAACAAGCCACAATTCATAAAAACATCACGCCCTTGTTGTCCCTGCCTTTGCCATAAAAGCAAGCTAACAAAAACAATCATACCAGCTTATTCCTTTGACAACTGCAACCAAAAGTAGCATTTCGTCAGAAATTAGGGAAGAGACAAAAAAAAGGTTATGTAAATCAGTACGGTTGGCAGAATACTATAGTTGATAGTGAAGAGTTAGAAAATGAAGAACAGTTTGTCTAATGTCTCCTGAGTACAAAGGAACACTGTTTCCTTGATTTCTTAAAAAAAAAAAAAAAAAATCCCTTTCAACACACGTACACAAAAACATTCCTACATTAAGAAGACACGTCACATTTTCCTCTTTTGGGCCCAGTTGGTGAACATGACATTATTTTCAACCTTTTTTTTAATTTGTGATTCTTCACTGTTTATCATCTAAAGCTATAACGCCATTTCCTGTCTAGTCATACCTGTTGAGTCACACGTGCAAACCCAAATGTGTACACCCGATTGTAATCTCAATCGTTATATATATTTGTTTGCGCACACGGTGAGGCACAGTCTTTAAAAATAATAGACATTTCCTCAAACGGTGTGGATGGACTGGAGGTAGCCCGCAGAGGACACGTGGCATCTGTAAAGATGATTTTGCAGAAAACAAATCTTTCCGTGAGTGGAGGAGGCCACAATGCAATATAGAACATACTGTATATAACTCATTTATTTCCAGCCCAGTTGAAATGGATCTTTGACGTCTATCGCCGTCAATGGCAGTGAAGTGAATTTGTTAAATATAAATATAGCGTCACAATTTTGCAGTTTTTTTTGAAACGAGGTATTTCCTGAAACAATTAAAAAAAAAATTGATTAAAAAATAGATATATATTACAAAAAGGTATAGTAGCCCTAATAGATCTCTGTGCTGTTGAGTAAACAAACAGCACAAAATGAGGAAATGGAACGTTAGTAACCTACTCATGGCGTGTTTGGTGAGATACGAGAAGCCCGGGAGAGCAGCGGGTCGGAGGCGACAAAAGCATCATGTCAGGAGGAAATTATATGCACTATTAGAGTCATATAGGGACAAAAACTAATTATAACATAATTTGTCCCCCCCAACCCCCCAAAAAAGAAAATAAAATTCCCCCAAATATGACAATGAAGAGGGTATGACTGCAATCAAGTTTGATGTTAAACGCATAAGTGATTGTTGCTCATCGTGTTAGCATACATACAAATATGATTCCGATCATCATAATATGACCTGAGAAAATGTTATCAAAGCGTAGATGCTCCAATGCAGAGAGAGGGGGCGGGGGGGGGGCAAACGCCATAACCAATCACGAGTCCTCATATGACACCAAATGAAAGAATGAATGAGCACACGGTTGCAGCTTTGGCGGCTCTCAATCTAAAAAGCGGCAAAGAACACAGCGGAATGTCCCCGGGAATCGATGGCTATTCAAATGAGCCGTATTCTGGCTGCTCTTTGTTTGAGCTCAAACAACCGGAATTAGTCGCACGTAGCGCACGTACACACACGAAGTACAAAAAAAATATGGGACTGTATTTGCTGTACATACTTTTCTAACGTAAAATATTGACCACACAGAAGTGTACCAAAGTGGATTCGCAGTTGTACCTTTTTAGAGTGTGTCAATGTCAACACTGCAAACCCTGCGCTCGTGTTCCCAACGCAAAGATTTGAACAGATTTAAGTGAATTGATTTTTTTTGGGGGGGGGATGGGGTGCGTGGGGATAAAGAAAAAGCTGTCAGATTACAAAAAAAACCCCAAAAAAAACTCAAAAACTGCAAGAATACAAAAGCCTATCCACTCGACATGAAGTCAGGATGACATCGGATAAGACTAGAATCTCTTCTGAAAGTCCTCCACCCAATCAGGCAGATATTTGTCACCTTGTTGTATCAAAAAAAGTGTACAAAACAGCCCTGAATGCTAACCAAATGTACATGTTAACCAGGACCAAAAACAATTACAAAATATATTTTATTTATCAGATTTTGGAAATAAAACAAGTGATAACTACTGCAATTCTGCCCCCCCCTCCCCCAACCTCATTAGCTGCGATATGGCGAAGCACTTAAACAGTACGCAGTACCTGTGCATGTGCTTTAAGAAGAATCCAGTATAAAAGACAAAAAAAAAAAAAAAAGCATATCCCTTTAAATGTCACAGACCTGCTTGTGTGCACTGATGTGGTCGGACACTTCAGTACAATGTTAAAAAAAAAAAACATTCCAGATGGATATTGCTTAAGTGAGGTTAGTCATACATTCAGTGGCTATATAAAGTCTCCACGCCCCTCTTCAAATGGCAAGTTTTTGTGACAACAAACCATTTCTAAACTTTTGCCCACTGGTCATGTGACTTGTAACCTATAGACCTCCCCCCTCAAAAAAAAAAAAAAAAAATTCGGGAAAAGCCTTCTAGAACAGCTGAACTTTATTTAGGGTTAGTCATTGGCACTTTAAATGCTGGTAGATTTGCGCTGACTCCCATTTTAACACGTGTTTGATTTTGATTGGTTAATTCTGAACATAGGCAGATTCCCCCTTTTTAAGAGGGTGTGCACACTTGTGCAACCATGTTATTTATTACTTCCCCTCTCAAAAAGATGCGTTTTCTTTCTCAGGTGAGTGTGACAGGATTTACTGCAGGTCACTTTAGTGGTGGAAGGAGTTTTTAAATGATTTATTTTGAGCTTTTTTTTTGTTTTTTTTTGAACAGGGGTGTGCAGACTTTTTACATCCACAGTTCAATCACAGAGATAGAAATATGAAATGAGTACATGAGAGCAAGACATTACATCCAAATACGCCTTTCGCCGTCATGGATGCCACTGCAAAAAAGATTATGGCTTGAGATCACTAAAATCTACATTCTGATGGAGTGACTGTTCACTCTTCCTCATTTTCGGGTGTTTCAGAGAGCAGGGCTGCCATCATAGCTGTCCCCAGAAAGTCGTTTTTCTTTTTTTTTTTTTTAAAAAAAATCCATCAACGGTGGAGTGAAGCGTGCCCAGAGTCAATTCCCCCCCCCCGGCTGATCATCAGCGGCTTGAGCCAAAGTTTCCACCAAGGAGTGCAGTTTAGTTCCATCCGTTTGGATGATTACCATTTGGCGCGGTTCGGTACACCCTGAGCTGAAGGATGACATCATCAGTGCGAGCCGCCAAACAAAAAGGAGGAAGGGCGCGATGTAAACAAGCGACACATGATGGTGATGGCTATTTGTTCTTCTTAGCGCGTGACTTTTGTCTTTGTCGCTGTTGAGCAAGTCGAGAGACGTGATCAACTAAAAAAAAAAAAAAGTACAAAATAAATAATTTAGGAGGAGTTTGGGTGAATAAAGTCGTAATTTTTGGGGAGAATAAATAATATATTTTTGTATTGTTGATGATGATGAAAAAATTGTATATCAACAGATGGAAGTGTGTCAGGGACCAATCATGAGTTACCGCAGCCTCAGAAAAGTTGCCAAAACGTGGGCCAGCATAAATTTAAAAAAAAAAACCCTCATAATTCATAATGACATTTTCTGAAACTTAAGTCATATCATTTTGTAATTTGAGATGAAAGAATAATCGTAATTTGGGGGCAGAAAAAAAATCTGAATTTTACAAGAATGGAATTGTAATAAAAAAAAAAAAAAAAGACATCGAGACGATAAAGTAATTTACTTGGAAAAAAATATGTAATTTATGGTCCCATAAACTCACATTTGTGGGAAAACAACAATTAGATGAAAATAAATTCATAATTTTAATATAAAGAAATTCAAAATCTTGGGATGAAGTGCCGATAAGTGGAAGAAGAAAAAAAAAATATTTTTTTACCAAGATGAAGACATCACTTTGAGAGATTTTTGGGGTCATTTTTTTGTGAGGGAGAAATAAAGGCTCATTTGAGAAGACAAGAGTCCTGTGCGAATCAAGTTATTAGTTCATGAGGAGAAAAATCGAGATCTTTTTTTTTTTTCATGACAAGTTGGAATCTAACAGACGAGTTATGCACAACTTTCAGCCACCAAATTTTTTTTGGGGTGGAGGGGAATTTATTTTTTTATTTAAATTTTTTTTAAAAAAAGAAGCAAAACAAAATCTCGACTTGAAAAAAGTCGAGATTTTAGCATTTGGTTGTTTTGAGTCTGTGTTTGCAAAGCTAAGCAGAACCTTTTGAGGTCCATACTTCTCAGGCTAACTCTTAACTCACTTAAGCATTGGGGTACGGTGGCCCTCGAGGCTCAAAACGGTTCAATTACCGGCTAGCGGGAGTGCAACTTCTACATACGTCTACTCAACTAAAAGTGCGCCGCTTGGTGGAAACAAGGCTTAATATTATCGAGCAGAAGTTGAAAGTAGCCCTTGCTGCATTGAGGAGAGGGTTCACTGGGGACGGGGGGTCACGGTAAGAGGAAAATAACCAAAAAGGACGGGACGATGGGCCACGCTGTTCAATACATGTCTCTGTAGATCTCCTGCAGGAGCGGGTGCAGCGACGTATCCTCCGTCTTCTTGATCTCTTGCACCAGCTGCGCGTGCTCGGTGACCAGCTGCCGCAAGTCGGCCAGCTTCTGCAGAAGCTTGGGGAAGAGGAAGACGTCGTCCGGGTGGTTGGCCAGCAGGTGGAGCCGGAGCACTTGCACGATGCTCTCCTGCATACGCTCGATGTGGCTCACGTTCACCAGGCCGGGCCGGTCTGTGTGGGGGAAGAAGCGTTAGAGCAGGACTGAAACATATGTTTTAGAAGAACATGTGAGATGACATTTCCTGGAAAAAAAAAGGTTCAGGTCACGTCATCTACAAAGTCAATTTCAAGGTCAAATCACAAGTCAAAAGGTCAAGTGACTAAAATAGTCCCTAATCTTTTCAATGACTGCAGATTTTGGATCCCTTGTTGAATTCCCTTTAAAAACAATAAATGTTTTTGTGACGATTTAAAGGACGGCGGCTAAGCCCTTTTTTTTTTCCGAACTAATTAAAATTCGGTGGGCCGTAGCTCGCAAACACCTGCTCAGATTGACCTAAAATTTGAGATTTAGTGTTGTGCCATCACTTTCAACAAGTGCAGCAACCAAAATCCCGCCAGGTTAAAATGAGATTTGGCATGGAATGACCCTAATATGGGAAAAACAAATGACGACAATCATCTTGAGGTTAAGATGAAAATGACGCTTGAGATCTGCAAATAAGTCATTTTAGGAGAAAATTGTTTCAATTTTTGGGGAAAAAGCAAGAGTAATTTTTATAGAAAAAAATCTGTACACTTTTCAGAGAAAAATAAAGTCCACATTTTATGAGAATCAAGTCTGAATTTCAGGGGAAAAAAAGCGATTTTTGGGGGAGCTGTAAAAAGTTAAACAGTCACAATTAAAACTGAAAGAGGTTGTAATTTCTTTTGCGGGGAAAAATGTCATCAAGAGTACAAAGTTGATAATGGTTGTAATTTTTTTAGGGGAAAAAAAGGATTTTTTTTTGGGGGGGGATGACTTGTGAATTCAGAAAAAAAAGTTGTCATTTTACAATTAAAAGTCTCATTCTTTTTTCAAGACTTTTTTTCTGGGTCCCACTCAAGCTAAAGGCTACGAAACATTGTTGTTGGTTGTTTTTTCTCTCTCTCTCTCCGTTTACCTCCGCAGCAGATGATGGCGGCCACAAAGAGCGCCAGGTCGCTATCGTCCAGCTCCAGGGCGTTAAACTTGGTGGCAAACTGGAACTTGGGCTCCATCATGTCGCTGAAGGGCCGCCGCAGGCTCTTGAGGAACTCGCGCGTGATGAAGCCCGAACCGTACGCCACCAGCAACCCGTCCTTGTTCATGCACGAGGCCAGCATGGCGAAGAGGGCCTCGTAGACGCCGTACTTCAACAGAGTCACCTGATCGTTGAGGTCCAGGCAAGAGAAGCCCGGGACCGACTTGGCGAATTCCGTCAACTCGGTCACCGTTTCCACCGAGGTGCACTGGCAGCAGTGGAAGAGGCGCACTTCGGCCTCGCGGTCCTTCAGGACCCCCGCCGAGCCCACCATCTTGGCCACCAGGGTCTGCTCCGCCAGCTGCAGCGTGTCCATGTCGTGGATGACCAAAGGCTGCCCCCCCCCAAGGAGCACAAACGCACATCGGCAATCGCATCAGGGTGAGAAGCTCAGACGGGGATTTCACTCGTGTGTGTGGTTATTTTACGACACTTATTGTAATTTGCCGCGAGCAACCCGGTGAAACGTATCATCCGCAAAAAGGGAGGGAACACTACTCTGTAACTGAAGTAGAATATAATCAAATAATATCCATCCATCCATCCATCCATTTTCTGATCCGCTTTATCTCACAAGGGTCACGGAGGATGCTGGAGCATATCCCAGCCGTCTCCGGGCAGTAGGCGGGGGACACCCTGAACCGGTTGCCAGCCAATCGCAGGGCACACACAGACAAACAAACCATCCGCGCTCACGCTCACACCTCGGGACAATTTTTGAGTGTTCAATCAGCCTGCCGTGCATGTTTTGGGAATGTGGGAGGAAACTGGAGTACCCAGAGAAAACCCACGCAGGCACGGGGAGAACATGCAAACTCCACAAGGGAGGTCGTAGCTTGCAGTTATTTTCGGGAAACAACTCTGTGACGATAGAATGTCGAGTGTGCAACATAAATCCATGAAAATCATGCTTGCCAATGTGACCCCCCCCCACACACACATACATACATTTAATATATGTGTTTGTGGGTTTTTTTTGTTTTTTTTTTGCAGGATTCTTGATTTCATTCGATTTATTGGGTGGTCTCACTTGGGTTCACACTGAAGGTCTCAGGGTTCATTTGGCAAAACGCCGACTTATCGTTCCGAGTTCATTTGGACTTCTAAAGGAAACCAAGTGCGAAGACGATGCGGGGGGGGGGAACGTTTCGGGAGGTTTGGGTCATGGTTTGAAAGAGTGCAGGGACGGAGATAAAAATAATAGCCTGCTTCTATTTATGGCGTCTTTGGCATCTCCTCACGCTTGAGTTGCTGCACATCATCTGTGTCGCGACGGGCTGCCAGCTATTGAGACACAAATTCTGAGTGCAAAGTTGAAAATGTGCTAAGAAGTGAAATCATTCCAGTAGGGGTGTGGGGGGGGGGGGGTTCGGGGCGATACATTTTAAGTGTCAACAAGAGGTGGCGACCTGTGAGGAAATCACCCGATCGTCTAGTTCAAATAAATAAATACATCGAGAATGGCCCTACCGGGGTGCTGGTCTTCCCCGTGAGGATGGTCCGAGCCTTGGCCTTGTTCATGTTGAAGTTTTTGAGGTAGGCCTCGTAAATCTGCCGAGCTAGCGTCTTCTGGTCGGCCATCTGGGGGTCCTCCACCTCGCGCTCCCCCGTCACCATCTCAGCCTTCAGTTTCAGCTTCTCCGACTGCGGCATCCGACCAAAGCGGATGGCTGCGTGGAAAGCAACGTAGACACTCGCTCAATTAGCAACCTTCATTCTGCTACTCGCCATAGCAAACGAGAAGAATACATGAGACGGAAGCGGCCATTGCGGTAATTCGGGGATATTTTCGTTTGTTTACACATCCAATCCACCCAAAAGCAGTCGATTGCATATAAATGCCACACGATACCAGCAAACCACTTCGATCGAAGGATCATAAAGCATCAACACCATGCTTCTAGTATGCACAAAACCACGGACCCGTGAAAATTTAATACAATGCGCCATCACACGAGGCTCCTCAACGCCATTCGCTGCCATGCTATTGTCGTCAAAAGTGACGAGACGTCACTTATGAGCAAAAAAATGCACGAGCACTTTTATGCAACCAGTAAGTCATGAAACTCATATTTTGGCAAACAAAATAATCATTGGTCGGAAGTGCAGACAAAATGTGACGGCAAATTACAACGACACGGGCTATAAGCTGCGTTGAGAGAAGAAGAAGAAACACAAACGTTCAGCGTCAACCGGGCATTTCCAACAGCCCAAAACACGACGCTTCCATCAGATGGTGTCAAATAATTCACGTGACCAATAGAAATGATTTTTTTTTTTTATTTTCAAAAGGCAAAGTAAAAATAAATTAACCTTTTAAAATGTTTCTGATTCAACCTAAATAAACTTGTTCGACTAAACTTCCTGCTGCAATGCTGCCCCCTACAGGACCATACAAGCTTCAACAGATACAAATTCAACCCAATGTTACTATCTGGTCATTTTTGTCATCCGGGTTTGTTTGTTTGTTTGTTTGTTTATTTATTGAACATATATAAAACATACAATAACATGACAAAGTGCAAACAAAAATTATGAAAGGAAAATAAAAGTAAAAGTAAGTAATACAAACATCATCACAGTTATATGTTCAAAGGAGTAGGAAGAAGTATAAAACTTATCTAGTCCTACCCCTTTTTGAGCAATAATGTATATTGATCATTTCCAAAGAAAAGGAAGAAATCTAAATTTCATCAAATACTTTTACCCTTTTGTGTACTATGCTTATCTATTGATACACCTTTCGGTTTGTATATATGTATCATTATTCTTTCTACTTTTTATATCAAATAACTCATATTCATTATATATACCACATTTCTTGAATACATTCAATAAGTTGTTCAAAATCCAGAACAAGAACAAACCATAGTATTACTATATTTTATAAGTACCAGTATGTAAAATTTATCTTCTTAACTTTGTTTATGTAGTTTTTTTGTACTAATCTTGTGAATTTGTTTTTGAACTCGTCCAAAGATTTACTCATTTTCAGATCCATCTCAAGCTTATTCCACAGATTAACTCCTATTACTGATACACATCTTTGCTTGATGTTTGTTCTTGTTCTGGATTTTTTGTATTGATTAATACCTCTTAGATTATAACAACTATCTCTAATTTCAAAAAACTTCTGGATATTTTGGCAGAGGAGATTGTTATGTGCTTTATACATTAATTGGGCAATTTTGAAGTCAACCAGGTCATAGAATTTCATTGTATTTGATTTGATGAATAGTGGATTTGTGGGTTCGATATATTTAGACCAATTGATTATTCTGATTGCTTTTTTCTGTAGTTTTAAGACAGGGAGTGTGTTTGATTTACAGGCGTTACCCCATATTTCCACACAGTAGGTCATATATGGGAGTAATAATGAGTAATATAATGTGTGCAAGGAACTCATATTCAACACATCCTTACTATGAGTTTGTTATTACAGTCCCAACCAAACATTGCATTTGTGCCATTCCAGTCATTGAACATTTTTTTTTTCCTCCCCTGAGGCTACACTCAGACGGCCTGATTCCATCTGACTAATGAGATTGCAAGTGAACTGCATTTAACCTCTCACACACACAAACGACAGCAGCGACTCCATCTGATTTGATCGAATATGTGGGCAAACGGTTCTGTCCCTGCAGAAACAAAGTCAGCGGTGCAGCACTCGGGCGCAGTTGTAGGACGCCGCGCACGATCGCTTCCCGCAAAGCGGTCGGGTCGCGTGAAGGTGCGAAAACGCCACAGCGGGTGACTGCGACGAAGCCAAATCTGATTACGTTGCGAGGAAGTGAGTGACGCTAAGCTAAGAACCTACGTCGGGGCACCGGTCGGAAACATTTACAATGATAAGCGTAATCACATTTGATTGACACTGTCAGTCGGCGAGTCATTCATTCACAATGAATGAAGATGTTTGAATAAACCCTACTGGCAGTATTATATTGTTGCCACATTTGAATCTTTATTACTAATTTTAATATCATTCATATCATTCGGCTGTGTGCTTTGGCCACCAGGGGGCCCTATGATACACACAGAAAGACGACACATATTTGATGATGAGTAGAAGTTTTTGTCTGCTCTTTATGCATGTTTCTACTGCATGTGCTCAAACATATGTTTTTTAAAATATTTATAATTACCGCAACATCAATGCTAGTTTCATTAGCCCGTCTTCAGCATTGTAAGTTAGCATGAAGTTAGCGGGCTTCTGCAAGACAAGTAAATGTGCTTTGATTAAATACACAATTGTCCGTTTTGTGGCTTAGCATGAAGCTAGCGGATTTTTGTAAAGACTAGTTAAGTGCTTAAAGTACTTTGGTTAAAATACATCTAAATGTGTAATTGTCTTTGTTTCGTGGGTTAGCATGAAGATGGCGAACTTTTGGACGATTACTTGGTTAGCATGAAGCGAGCGGACTTTTGTAAGACTAATTAAGTGCTTAAGGTGAATTGGTTAAATACAATAAATAATAATAACTGTGTAATTGTCTTTGTTTCGTGTTTAGCTTTCAAGTAAATATATAAATATGTAGGTAGAGTCATGCAGCATCCGTGAGAGTCCAAGTTAGCTCTTGTATCCATCGCAGGTGGAAAAACGAAGGTCCAAAATTAGCGCAGAATCTGTCCCGTCGTCTATCACGAGACTGCAAACACCTCATCAAAGGATCCCATTGCACCCACGCCCCAAAACTCCCCTCCGGCGCTCTTTTGTTACATTGAAGCCCTGAAAGTCAAGAATGAAAGGAAGTGAGCGACACGCAAAGCTGTTAGCTATAGCCTAAAGAAATCAACCATAAATCAATGAAGCGCAGGGAAAGCTCACCGCAAGTGACGTTGTGGAATATATGCGCAAAGGGTGACCTTATGGAACCCGCTGACCGCTCGCATGCCAACGTCATCTTCTAAATGTGTTTCTAATCCGGATGTTGACCTTGAACGTGGGTCTGCATGCTTGTGCATGCTTGTGTATGTGTGTATGTGTGTGTGTGTGTGTGTGCATGCTTGTGTATGTGTGTATGTGTGTGTGTGTGTGTGTGCATGCTTGTGTATGTGTGTATGTGTGTGTGTGTGTGTGTGCATGCTTGTGTATGTGTGTATGTGTGTGTGTGTGTGTGTGCATGCTTGTGTATGTGTGTATGTGGGTGTGTGTGTGTGTGTGTGGTGTCAACAGCAATACAACAAACACCGCATCCATCGCTCCTGACGACCCCTGCAACAAGTCAAATCTACAAAATAGAAATACACAACTGAAATATTCAAGGCTTTTTTGTTACCGCATTTATGCCACTTATGATGAATTCATTTCATATATTTTATATAAACAGCCAACATCATCCCATCATCATGCAATAAACAAATCTTTGCTTCTTGCAAATTTCCTGATGAACAACAGCGTGAGAGACTAGTTAAAATACAGGCGCTGATTCAACTACTGTTACTCCTGTGAAAGGTAAAAAAAAGTACAAACTGAAATGAAACAACACAAGTGGAACTAAATTTTGTTTTGACAACTTGGCCCAATGGGTAAAAAAAAAAAAAAAAATGCTCACAACATCGTTTCCTTCATTTATTAACTTTCATAGTGCTCATACTGAGAAGAAAAAAAAAAAAGCTAGCTAAAGCTGCCGCAGGCTTTTGGCAAAACACAGCTGACCCACAGCTTCGCTAATGTCGACTTCCACAAAAATGCCGTCCCTGTTTCTTCCATTTAAGTCCCCAAGATCCAGCGTAGGTTGACTTTACTTCTCCCCAAATGGTATTTGTTTGCGCTAAAGGCCTATTTGATGCAGTCCAGACAACACAGTACCGAGGTGCCTCAACTTGTACTCTTAAGGGCATTCGTGCCAATTAGACACCTGGCAGCAGCAGTTGTCTAACAGTCGCGGTATCGTTTTAAGTGTGCGCATGCCCGAGTGTGTGTGTGTTTACAAACCAGGGAGCGGCTCTGCCTGTTTTTTTGGACTCACCGTTGTGGGACATGCCCACCGACAGGCACTTCTGGAAGCGGCAGTATTGGCACTTGTTGCGGTTCTTCTTTTGGATCTTACAGCGGCGTTCGCACTTGTCGTACTCGAGCTTGAGACGGATGGTCCGCCGAAAAAAACCCTGAAGGAGGTACAAAAACAAAACAAACCACTTGAGTATTTTTAGGACAGTTTCTCTTCACCAGCTTTTTAGAAACGCCTTCTCACACATGTTAATCGTAGCGCGAAATCAAACGTGTTTGTCGCCATGGCTGCATCGTGTTTAGACATGCAAAGCTCAAAATGAAAATGATCAAAGTTTCAGACAGGTAGCTGTGCGTGGAAATGACAACAGGACTCATAAATTGAACACCACTTTTTCCTCATGCGACGAATGAATGTCGAGAGGCTTTTTTTGGGGGGGGGGGCGAAGGGGATATAATGCTCGTTTTGGGGGGGTTGTCGCCACCATTCCACTTTTTGCATGAAATCTTTTGGCTTCAGCTTTTTCTTCCAGTTTTCGTCATACTCCACAAGCACAGAATGCTTTTTAAGCTTTTTATATACTTGCGACGGGCTACAAAAGTGATGTGTTCGGCTGCTGAGAGTGTTTGGCTTGACAACTTCCAGACGCTTCCGTGAACTAATTGGAATTTTGCTCCAGTCAAGTGTATGAGGTAGTCACAGGCTTCATGACCCCTCGCCCCACTTCCACCAGTACCGCTGTGCGAGCAACCCTCCCGTGACCACTTCATCCAAATTTACAGCGTATATCACAGCATTCCTCAAGACATAAAATGATGAAACAGCCACCGGGGGATGCATCTTTGGAAAAAATAAAGCTGCACCCACTTGATTTTTTTTTTTTTAGGCGCAGGGTTGGCCCGCGAGCTCACTCCTCAGGCTGGAAGAGACCAAGGACAAAAACGGTCAACATTCCGTCACGCACTTTACAGGGAGCAAAGTGGATGAAATTTAAAGTGGATGAAATTTTTACTAGCGAAAAGGCTGTAGCCAAATACCGATAATCGGGCCTAATTTGGATGGAATGAGATGGTTTCCAAATCTGAACAAAATTTAAGGTTGACCGGCATCCAGCCGTCGTGGACCATGCTTTGCGCAATGTGATCTTTCTGTCTGGCAAAAAGTACGTTTCCTTTAAAAAAAAAAAAAAAAAAAAAAAAAAAAAAGGGATACATGTAGATATGGCCTTTGCCCTCCAGTTGCACTAAAAAGTCTTGAGTTGCTGTCAAGCTACACGGTAAACCATTAACTCAAAGTCGATTGTGTCATGAGACCAATGCATCAAATCCATGGACCTGGGGTGACCTTCACTCTCCAGGACCGTGCTTGACTCTGATACGTTCTAGCCGTGAAAAAGAAATAGCATGTAAAAAAAAAAACTATCAAAACAGAAATGTTAATGTTATGTTTTTAGACAGTACAATATCTTCAGTATGGAGGGATTTTAATTTTTTTTTTTGTGTGGGTCTGCAGCAGATTAATTATATTTCAATTCATTTCAATAGTGAAAGAGGATTTGAGATAAGAAGCGAATTCAACCAGTATCTCAAGGAACAAAAAAAAAGGTTTTAACTAATAAAGAGTTTGCAGGTTGGAAAGGTGAACGTAAGTAGGGGAGAGTCTGTGTACTGTAAAAACCTATTTAAAAAAAAACTTTCATATCCAGGCGCTAACAATGAATCGAGATACAGCAGGAAACTGTAAGGATCGTGGAAGTTGACACACTTGATTTGCTTTCGCGGGCCACATAAAATGATGTGGCGGGCCGGATCTGGCCCCCGGGCCTTGAGTTTGACACCTATGTTCTTAGAGGCAAAACAAACCTGGCCAGGCTCAAATGAGCTTTTGCTTCCGCCTGTGCCATTCTGCAATCTGTATGATGTTGAGCATTGTGGATGATATTTTATGATGACGGGACTGCGATTGAGTTTTTGCTACCCTGAAAAGTACATGTGACCCCCCAAGAACTGTGCTTTTGCTGACAGTAGCGAGAACAGACGCAGCTCAGGAGTTAGTTAACGAGACATGCAGGAGGAAGAATCTAGGTCACTTGGCCGGCTGGGGCTGCGCTGGGAGAAGGGAACCGAGGGTTTGCGGGCTTGGACACCAGCAGACGAGGGGAGGCAATTTTTCGATGCGCTCCTTCTACCTGGTAGTCAAAACTTGAGACCTCCGCATGTAAACTAGGTCAATCTTTAGTAAGCCCCTTTCATCAGGCCCCGTTAAGTCCATCAAAGACGGGGAAAAATAAGGGGGAAGGGGGCATTAGAGCTGGTGTGGGGGTGGCTAACAAGCGGTCGGATGGCAGGTG